AATGTAATTTAGGTAATCATAATGGAAGTATTTTATTTTGCTTCAGTATATCTGATTTATCTTTATTCTTCAGGCAGGTAATGTTGTTGCTTGTCAGTATTTTAAGACGTGTTTTACATAATTATATGTATTCTGTTTTATTTTAGAGAATTCTGTATAATCTTTAATACATTTTATGAATTTGGTACACTTCTAAAAACTTGATTTTTTTAGATACGTTGATTATTAAAACAATAGATTTGTTGATGATACTTTTTCATTTTGAGAATGAAGATAGAGTAAGTTCGACTTTATGAGACCGTTTGTTCGACAAACATTTTACAGCAAGTTGGTGAAGAGGAAAACACTATGGCAAAGGTCGATGAACTTTAAACTGAACTAATAACACCATTGGACAATTCCTGCTCGTACTTTAGTGCATGTTAGCACAGAATAACTCGCTATTTTTTGGTTTTAGCTTTTGCTGTATTTTGTTTGTAGTTGCAACTAGACGTGTTTGTGCTTTGCTTACAAGAAATCTGATAGTTTCTTTTTGTTTTGTTTACTTTTCTTCCTTTTTCCTGCACAGAAAAATCCCAAGACAGGTGAAAATTTTGACCCCATCTTCACCAACTCCAAGACAAATCTGACACCTACTGATAGCGTGGTAATTAATAACTTAACCGGAAGCGAGTTTGATGGCTTCACTTTTGTCAACCCCTGCTTTGGTGGTCTAACAACAGATGTCTAGTATGATGCATGTGTATTGACTGCGAATTTTGATTTCCTTTCCTGACCCCAACAGTATGTAGGTCAATGTAAAAAGTCCCGTAGATGGTTAGCAGGGATTAGCCTTTATCCATAAAAAGCTGGTACTAGAAGGGAAATCGTGAAAACTGTATTTCTGTGATTTTTTTCAACTTGTAGACAGTGTTTGTTCGTTGTTTTTTTTTTAAGCTAAACATTTTTACCTTGTTATGCAGTTGCTTAATGTATTAAATAGTTCTTCTGTATAAGCTTCGGTTTCTAACAAGTTTTGGAGGTTTGTGAAATTTGAGATGTAAGGTTATAACTCGTATGCGCAACTACAAAAATGTTACTTGAAAACCTCGGAATATTATATAAAAACTTGAATATCAATTTGTTTTTAGCTTAAATATTGTATTTTGAAAATTAAAATCGTTTGTAAGTTTTCAAGTGTTATATCAATCACGAGTAAAAAGGAAAGACCTATACATTCCACATTGGATTTATCTAAAACTATCATTGAAAACTTCTTCCAGAAAGAGAGAGATCTGACTTTAAAAGTTTTCAGAACATCAATAGCTTAATACGTGTTTAGTAATATGAAGGATACAAGTGTAGCTTTTTTCTTAGAATTTTCTCCTAATATGGTTGTGTCGTGTACAAAGTCTTTTTTTTTTCCAAATGACATTGAATGATAAATTCCTATAATCATCTTAAGACTTTGTAAAAACCTTGTACTTTTTTGTATTGATATTGCATTGTGATATATGCCTATACTATTAGTCTGGCAGGATGTTTTTCATATATATTTATATTATTTTTTTTTTTATTATCAGTGATCTTCCAAGTTAATGTTCTGCTTATAAGTGTGATTAAAAAAACAAAACAAAAAAAAACTGTTATTATAATATAAGTTTTACTTTGTCATTTATTTTTCCTTAATCTCCTATTTATGCTGTTGTATTGTATTCTGTATTCTTGCTTATTCTGATTAAGGCTTAACGTTTTTAAATTTTCAAGTATATCCCTTTGTATTCAGTCTGTGCTATAAATGTTGAGAATATGTATAAATGCACGAAGGAACTAATATATAGAAGTTCAAGAATAACTTGTTTTTTCAGAGTATTCGCACACTAGGTTATACGTGTTAAAAGGAATGCACACGAGGCCTAGGAAAATATTGTTTACTTGAAGCATTATGAGAAATGTTGTGAGATGTTTCCTTGTAGTTTCATGTGTCTTTCTGTGTTCACTGACTGTTACATGGGTATTAAAGTTCTAGATGTTGGAGAATGGGCATGTTTGTGCACATGTGTCCACATGTGTTCACTGACTGTTACATGGGTATTAAAGTGCTAGGTGTTGGAGAATGGGCATGTTTGTGCACATGTGTGCAAACAATTTGTGACGTGTTCACTTTAGTAAGTATTGGGCGATTGGTTTTATTATAACCACAAGTTTTAGCCTTTTAAACATTGAAGAAAAATACAAAAGAATATTCATGGGACAGATGTGTATGGCAACAAAGTATCTTGTACAATAAATCAGTTCTATTTCTGATAATTAAAATGTCAAATTTGAAAACTCTTGTTCAGAAATAATGTTTGAAAGAAGCATTTTGAAGCTGGAAGAAATACAAAAAAGTAATTGAAGGATGTTAAGCTGTATTGATTGAACCATATTCTATATTTAGTGATACTAAAATATTTCAAAAGTGTGCATAATATTGTTTAAAATGTAGAATAACAGTTCATTCTTAATTGATAGATTGAAAAAAAAAACTTGTTTATGTCCTAAAGCAACATTGCATGAAAAAAAGTATTTCAAAATCAATCAGAACATAAAGATTGTGCAGCGTCTTTGACCAAAAGAGCTTTGTGCACTTACTGATTAACCCCTTTATTCTGTCCAATAAAGAGAATACTTGGTTAATTTGAGACAAAAATAACTAAATATAACACCAAGAAATGAGTAGTTTTAGTGACTTAGCTTTCAGCTTACAACACTTGTTTAGAAAAAAGAAATGGAGAGAGAGAGAAGTTTTGGTAGGGGTTCCAGTTAAGAGATGTGCAAGTTTCATGGTGTATACATGTAGTTCTAAATGTTTTCTGGTGTTAAATCACAATACAAAGAAAAATACCTTTGCAAACACCTTTCTCATTGTTTCATTGTTAATCCATAAAATGATAAGAGAAGAACTTATAATGGAATACTTCAGTTAACTTCGGTAATGCACTAAGAAAAACGCCGAAACGGTGATGTCGGGTGAGGCATGCGCTACACACAACTACATTTTCAACTGATATAATGGCTACAACTTCTCGTTTCTCCAGAGCCGGTTTCTAACTTCCTCATTAGGTAATCTATAACTTTCCTAACTTAAGTTCTCCTGAGGGCATGGCAACAGGCTGTTTTGGCATGCCAGTTGTTCTTTGTTTGAATGTAATTACTGTTTCTGTATGCAGAAATATGAAGTTATAATTGAATCGTAGTAACAGTTGACGTTGACTAGTATTTTATTACTGGATTCTTACAATTAAAAGCTAATTAATGATAAAAAAAAAACAATGTTTGGTTTAAGTGTTTACATTAGGAACACAGACGTGTAATTTCTACGCGGGGTTGCACTTCCCCTGATGAGCTACTGCTCCGAATATTTAATAAGCTTTATTTCAATTATGTATTAAGTTTAACCATGAAAATTATTACCATCTTGTCCCTCTGTCCAAAGACAGACTTTGTTGAATTTAATTTTATTCCAACCATTTCTAATTATCTTCATTTGATGAACATTTTATTTATTTATTGAGATATTGACGATTTTTTTTTCTTCAAATTACTAAAATTCTATTTTTTTGTTTGTATCTGTAAGTGTATATTTTAGTGATCTTTTTTTGTTCTGTATTGGGACCATTGTTGTTTTGTGTTCTGCAGTGTTTATATTATTGTATTAACCATTATGATAATTTTGTTCTGAAACAAAACAACTTGGCACAATTACGACTATTGTATACACGATAAACGGACAGCGTTCATTACCCGTCTCTCATCTAACCCTTTCACGACCAAACACTTTAGTATTATTAGGAATCGGAGAAAATTGGTACTTAATATTAGCTTCCCATCAGAGCAATCTACTTATTTAGATCAAAGTTAAAGATCGACCCGGTAACGAGTAGAGCCAATGGAATACAAGTTCCTCATATTCTTACTTATAAAGATTGGAATGAGTAGTTTCATGAGTCTGGTACGCTTGATATTTACAATATTTCGGGCTCTATTTGATATATATTCTATTAAGAAAATGCCCTAAAAACTATCTTTCTGGATTAAGTGTGAAAAAAAAACCATTATCAAAGTAAGCCCATATTGCCCCTGGAAATAGGAATAGTGGGCATACTAAGTATGCGTATGTGGTAAACAAAAGTAAACTTGAATCGGATGAAGTATTCGCAATACTCGTAGAATGTTTTTATGTATTTATTTTTTTACTATTGTACTAAGCTTCGCATAATTGATACACTTGTTAATTTTTTCTGTCTTCTAAATTGAAAGAAATCATCATTCAAATTAAAGTGTTTAATACCTGACTTATTACTAAATGTCTATACGTTTTTATGTAAAGTTCTTTTTTTTTTTTATTTATTAGGTTTTGTTACTCTTTGCTAGTCTTAAATGATTATTCCAAAGATTTCATTGTTAAAATGCAGCTTTGTTATGGTTGTTGATGTTTCGTGTTAACAAAGAGAATGCTACAAATTAAGTTCTTAGCTGTAGCTTGTTGAATATACACCATCTTGAATTATTTTTAGTTTTGTTGGTCTTTTGGGATTTAATGAATGTTTACTGGGTCTTGTTTAGAGTTGAATGTAAATAACTATAACACTTTATTCTCTATGTTTTCCAGTAAAAGTTGTTGTTTCTGAATTATATTTTGCTAAAAATGTTTTAAGTGATGCTCAGACAGATTATTTGTGGATATCGGTAATATTGTAACTGATTTTTCTAAATGCTCTTATATGATTTTTATTTTAAACTAGCATATCTGTTTCAAGACAACAGAGTTTTTAAGATGTATTTATTCAGTGAAGAAAAAAAGCTAATAATTTTAGTTTGTTGAAGATTGTGGTTTTTTTTTCACTGTTCTCTTTATTTTGTCAGTTAGCAATAAGAAGAATATTTTACCCCAAAACAAAAATGTTGAGCTGATTTCAAAGAAATAGATGTAAATCCAGTTATGTGTTTTTGGTAATAACTTAGAAAACGGTTGGGGATTCAGGTTTGTGATTTGGATGGAAAATAATTTCATGATCAAAGTAGGTATGAACAAGTCTAGAAGTTGAAATTTAAAAAAGATTGTTCTCCAATGCTCTTAAACGTAGGTGAGTGACACTTTAGTTTCACTGTCCGCTACTCTTAGCAGTAGGTGAGTGACACTTTAGTTTCACTGTCCACTACTCTTAGCAGTAGGTGAGTAATACTTTAGGAACAAAAGTATGACTGTTTTCTCAGGAATTATTGGTTCATTGTTAAGGGAAAAGCAGAAGTTTAGATTGAAAAAAAGCTATACCATTTTATAGTTTAATAATAACTAACAAAAAGTTAGCTGTTGTAGAATAATTGTAATTTTTAGCCAGAAAAAAAGTTTAAAAATAAAACACTGTGTTTAGAAGCGAGTAAAAGAAATGATATTAGGTTTAATAGTTCTGATTGTTATTTGTGATTTTTGGTTACTTAATTTAAAAATTATATATTTCACAGTTTGTAGTTACTTAACTTTAAACAAGTATTCATAAAGTAAAAGCACTATTTTTGTAATAATAAAGAAGAAAGTTACTTAATATTAAGGGGAAAATGTGATTATATGTAATGTATGTTCAAACTTTGTTTGGTAAATATGTCAAGAAGGTTAGCTTGTAATCTGGCACTTTTTTTTGGTGTCTAAAGATAAGCCATGTTAGGCTTATCAATCACGTGACATTGTGATCATGCTCTACTTGCATTTTGTTTTCAATTCATGTCCACCAATTTTAAGTTTTACTTTTTTTTTTTTATCAGGAAATGACTGGTACCAATGTAAATATAACAAATCACTTGCTGTTCATCACTGGTAATCGGTAACATACATATTTACAAATAGGTTTTGTTTCTTACTGGCATCATAGATATTTTTTTTATTCGCCTCTTTCAGTTTAATCGTTTTCATTCGCATATTCTGGTCTTTTTTCTTTTTTTCGTTGAACTCCTGCCTTTTTTATTTATTTCTCAAACCTATGCTGAACTGGTCCCTTTCTTTCCTACTTTGCACCTGTTTCCCTTATATTGAATTATAACGTTTCATAACTGTAGGGAGGGGGTCTTATAGTCTCCATACTAGCTGAACTTAGAAAGGTGGCCACTCATTCCAATAATTTTCTAATGGCGTATATTAATGTAACTCCCTAATCCTTTAGAGACAAACCAAGGGCCGGCCGCTTTCTCAAACTAAAGTTCCACCCGTTTTACTGTACACTTAACTTCATAACACGTTGTGTGATAGTATTTGTACAAGTTAGTGTTAATTAAAAATAGAGAGACCCAGAAACTGGAATAGGGAAAGTTCACGCCTAGTTCACGTGCTCACATCTTTACTTCCCATCATTGGATGACTATTGGTTTATATTTTGGCAATACTTTCGTAGCTTCTGTATTATGAGGCCATCTCGGTGACATTTTGTTATTTGATACTTACCTTGATCTTGGTCTTCGTCATTCCACAAAGTCTGCGTGAAATGTTGTTATTACATTATTATTATATCTACCTCTATGTGTGTGTGTGTGTGTGTGTGTGTGTGTGTGTGTGTGTGTGTGTGTGTGTGTGAAACATGTTTTAACGTTATTTTCAATATTTGAAGAATAAGTTCAGGGCTCGATAACGCCAGTCCGGCACTATTTTATTAAGAGAAAACAGTGTGTTAAGACTTTGGTCTGACTTGGTCATAGGGAATGAACGTTAATGTGGATTGATGGACTTTATTTTATGTAAACTGTTGATCCTCACTTTCTTACGTATACAGAGTTAAAACTTTTGATGTGTGTTTAACGTTGCACTCTGTCGGCACACCATATACGTATAACTTTGGTTTCTCTTGTAAGCAGTACATCGTGGTGTTCAGAATATGCAATAAATACTGTTTATGTGACAGTGTTACGTTGTGTAAACTCTTTTCTTGTATTTTACAAACTTTTAAAACTAATCATCCGATTTTTGATGTTGATAAATTAGTCACATTTAGATCAATATAACATCTAAGTGGCCAGGTGGTTAGGGAGCTTGACTCGCAATCTGCGGATCGCGGGTTCGAATCCCCGTCCCACCAAACATGCTCGCCCCTTTCAGCCGTGGGGGCGTTATAATGTTACTGTCAATCCCACTATTCGTTGGTAAAAGAGTATCCCAAGAATTAGCGGTGGGTGGTGATGACTAGCTACCTTCCCTCTAGTCACTGCTAAATTAAGAACGGCTAGCGCAGATAGCCCTCGTGTAGCTTTGTGCGATATTCAGAACAACCAATAACTGAAGGAGAGTGTTGTTTAAAGAAGTTAATTTTGATATGATATGGGCGAAGCTTGGGAAGATTTTTGGATAAATATGTATAACGCAGCGTTTCCCAAACTTTTGGTATCCATGTCCCAATTCCCCTTTAAGGTTAAGTGACGAGTTATAATACACTGATACACAGTAGGTTGCTGTATGTGTTGTAAGTATTTATTTTAATTAATAAATATATAATATATATATTAAAAAGCGTAACTTTAATTCATTGTACTATTGACTTATCCTAATCACTTGTGTCCTACAAGAAATCATTTACTTTAACCTGAGGGGAGGGGCGCCCCCACACTTTGGGAAACGCTGGTGTAACGTATACATTTTATAGCTTACGTGGGCTAAACTTAAAAGTAACTGAAACTTTAACTATTTAATTTATTTTCATTTATCCTGTCAATAATGATGCCAAGTAAAGTGTGTGTGTGTGGTTAAGGCTCTCGACTCGCGATCTGCAGGTTGCGAGATCGAAACCCGCCTCGTACATGCTCGCACGTTCAGCCATGAAGGCGTTATAATGTGACGGTCAATCTCACTGTTCATTTCATTGGTAAAGAGTAGGCCGTAGGCGATGTTGACTAACTGTCTTTCCTGTAGTATACCACTTAAATTATAGACGGCTAGAGCAGATATCCCTCGAGTAGCTTTGTACGAAAATATAACAAACAAACCGATCTATTAAAGCTAACGGTGAAGTCGGCCTTAAACTGTCGTAATGTATGTTACAAATCAAAACTACAACATTATAATGGACTATCCGTGCTCTGCCCACCGCAGGTATCAAAACCAGATTTTTAGCGTTGTACAGCTAAACTACCTGGGGGCCTCTATATAAGTAAAGATTATACACACTTTTGCATATTATCGTGTTTATAACAACCCACAAACCTGGTTTTTAAAACTATAATAATAACTAATGTGTAGTTTTTTCTATCATAGAGTAGCGGGACCTTCCACCCAAGATATTTTTACAAATTTGAAAGTTTTATTAATAGATAATAACTTATAGTATGAAAAAGTTGTCCTTAAAACTGTACCATTTTAGATATACTTGTACAAAATATATTGGGGGAATACAACCCGGACATATTGGTTCTCTTTATCGGGATCTGGGAGATTCGGGTTCGATTCTCTACCCTTTCATTCCACCTGCACTGATATTTTAGTAGCATTGTTAAATGCTGAACATTTCATAAATGCGGGGTTGTATTCTTGTAATGTCACGGACAGAATTACAATACCCCTATCGTGGCCATATCCGTTTGTATGCAACGTTTGGAATTTGCACTGGTCTACACTTTGCTTCATTTAGTATGTTTACAGTATCGCATGTCACAAATAGTCCCATATATTACAATGCTTATTCATTCATTCTGTAATATATCTAATATATCTAGGATGTTAGCAACTTTGATCTTATGTTTTTTACAGAAGCATCGCAAGGATGTTAGCATAGCATCTTTGATCTTATGTTTTTACAGAAGCATCGTAAGGATGTTAGCATAGCATCTTTGATCTTATGTTTTTACAGAAGCATCGTAAGGATGTTAGCATAGCATCTTTGATCTTATGTTTTTACAGAAACATCGTAAGGATGTTAGCAACTTTGACAAGCAGTTCACTAGTGAAAAAACGGATCTCACGCCGACTGACAAGCTGTTCATGATGAACCTGGATCAGACGGAGTTTTTCGGATTCTCCTTTCTAAATCCAGAGTTTGTCCAACACATATAACGATTTTCAATACTTGTTATCTAATTTGTTAAAATCGAAATTTTCATATTTTTTCACATATTTGATAAAGTAACTTTCTGCTTTGACCTTTCGTTGTGGTCATCTATCTAATACGTTTAAACTCGCCAGTGATAACTTAACACTTTAGATGCATTGTTCGTCGTGTTTATCATCGTATTATAAATGTTTAACAAGTTGGACTATATTTATATATCAACCAAAATGCTTATTTCTGTGTGAATCTTAAATGTTATTTATTGCATCTTTGATAATTGATCCCCCCCCCTCCATAACAACGTGGTCCATCATCCATGATCCCCCTCCCCTCTCCCATAACAACATGGTTCATCATTCAATCCATGTCAAGATCATGGGGATTTAATGGCATAATGTATTATCCATGTAATTAAAATGTTTATCGCAAAGGCGTCTACTGTGTTGAAGTTGTAAATGACTATTGAAAACGTCAACAAAGCTCCAACTGTATTTAGAATTCAAACTTCGTGACTGACACGTGACGAGTGCACATTGCACGCCTCCTATATTATAGAAACTAAAGTAACCTCCATCGTGCTACTATTTCACTATCCAAAATCAAATTTTTCTTTAAAAAACTTGAACCATGCATTCCAGAATTAGGCTTAAATGTTATCTAGCGGTTCGTCATCTCGTATCGTTGACATCTTTCCACTTAAAGTGTCTTAAATAACATTCGACCGATGTGTGCGATTTGTTACAGTAATTTTTTTTTTTTTTTTTTTTTATATATAAAGAAATTTGAAGTATATTACCAGTCATAAAAAAATCACAAACTATGATCTATTACGTTAATAGTCCCTGCATGTAATTTCTTTCTTTTGTGGAAAGGTGAATATGGAATCCTTTACACAATTAGAAGGGCCGTTAGGCTTATCGAAACGCATACAGGCGGAAACAGCGTTAGATATTATAGATCAAGAATACGGTTTTTAAAACAGTAAATAATGTTTTTTCTTATTCTAAATATTTAATTGTAATCTTTATATTTTAGTTGAATATTTAAAGATAGTAATAATAATTATCTTGTATTAGAGACTTGTATGAACTTTTAACCCTCGTAAAATTTTATTTATACAAAAATCAGTAGTTAATTCATATTCTAGTGTTTACTACCACTCTTAAAGGTTTAAGTATCACTGACAAAGAAAACGTAACTAAACTACAGTCTATCTACATAATCTCATTTATCCATGACATATGCTATAAAATTATATTATTATAATGTATTGAATAATGTATCCTTTCACAGTGAAAAAAAACGGATTTCTAACACGGACTCGTTTATCGCCGTTTTTATTTTAATACTTTTTATTATTATGATCATACAACTTTACAGAATCTCAACCCATTTATATAATTATAATTCCCCCCCCCCTTTTCTGTGTTCGTATTTTGTATGAATTTTGATTATATAAATCTTTGCTCGAATAAAGATACGACTACAATGTCCTGAACACTTCAGTGTGTTTTTTCCTCACGATATCTTTCTTTGTGTGTATCACTTGAAACTAAGGAATACTTCTTGTTAATACACTTGTTAATGACTGGCAATTAAGTCCGTTTTGACAAACGTATTCCCAATTTAATATGATATATTCATAGAGATCAAGAGTTAGATATTGCTTTGTTGTTTTTATGTACGATGTTTATTTTTTCTGCCACTTCCTGGCATATTAAAAAAATTAAATTCGAAATGTACTGGGTAATCATTACTGCTAATTAAGCCTTAATGGATCTGAAAATGTTTGTAATGTTTTAGGTGCTTATATAAAATGGATTCAAAAATCGTAATAAATATTTCCGAAGTTTTGTTTTCTTAATGTCTGTCGTATGTTTCAGAAACAGATTAAAAATGTGAAGTTTATTGAATATTTTAATTATTTTTAGTGTTTTTTTTTATTGTTCCTAATTTCTGTGTCCAGGTGCATGTTTTCGAGCATGTCTCTTAACGTTGTAGCGTTTAACGTGCTCCTAGTGAAATATGTATATTAATTTAAGGTTTTTGAAGACATTTATCTATATAAAGATTATTAACCAATCAGATAAGTCTGTTTATTTTCAAACTTGAGAACACTTTGAAAACTATTCATTGATATACAGTTTGATTGTCTCAGTAGAGCAGATACCATTTTGATGGTATGATTAACAGATGTTATAAACGTAAATTTTAAAATATATCCAAATTGAGTGGTATACAAATAAAACAGTTTGAAAGAAGATCCCACAAGGTGAAATAATTTAGTATTTCTAGCTGATGTAACAAGCCTTTTCGGCGAAATATTCCATTTCTGCCAGCCAGCGAGTTCAAATATTTTATCTACATTTTTGGGATATTTATTTTTAATACTTTATTTTAATTTATTTATAATACTTATTTTGGTTCGTCGAGTCAAAAGTTTAGGGAGAAAATTTTCTTGTGTAGAAATTGTTTATAAAAATTTGGGATCGCAAATTTCACTACCCGTAAATTACTAAATACCTACTTGTTCTACAAAGTCGACCGAATTTATCTTGCACTAAAGAACAATTTGTTTGGAAACTTTAGAAGCGGTTCTCTTCACGCGATTTAAATTTACCCTGACAATATTATTTAAAACAGACACTAGATGGCGCCACATAACAGGATTGCAATGTTAAAATATATTGCCGTTAAATACACAAGTAAAAACAAAAAACAGTGTAAACTTATATTCAAAAATAAGTATTCTCGGAGACAAAAAAAAGTTAATAATTGACCATTAAAATGAGTGCTAAAAGACAGAAACGAAAGTTGATTAAGATATTCATTGTGTGACCGAAGATGTAGTTTCATATCAGAAAATACTAAAAATTGAAGAGGTTTGTGCAATTATACTGGTTTAATAAATGTAAGAATTTTATAAATAATATAGGCGGCTTAATAATGAATCATAATGTGAACATTCGCTATATTGTAGCAACTTGTCCAGGTTTGTATTCAAACAAATAAAGCAACTATATACATTGTTGCGGGGATTTTCATTACTTCGTGGTTAATCAGCCTTAGCTAAAATCTCATGTAGGTATTATCTTGCCCCACAGTTGTATGTCTGAGGACTTACAACGCTAGAATCCGGGTTTCAGTACCCGTGGTGGGCAGAGCACAGATAGCCCATTGTGTAGCTTTGTGCTTAATTACAAACGAATTTCATGTAGGTATTATCTTGCCCCACAGTTGTATGTCTGAGGACTTACAACGCTAGAATCCGGGTTTCAATACCCGTGGTGGGCAGAGCACAGATAGCCCATTGTGTAGCTTTGTGCTTAATTACAAACAAATCTCATGTAGGTATCATCTTTTATCAATACCAGAAGTTTTTCATCCACGAACTTTATAAGAAAGTAATATTAGTCTTTTTTTTTGACAGTATAAAAATATAATTATTTATTAGTATTGAATTATTCTTTCGCTCTTAACAAAAAAAACAAACAAACGTATATTATCGAATCATATTGTCTTTTCATTGAACATAATTGTTTTGGTTATAAGTGAAATCGGGGTAAGAAATGAAAGAACGAGATACAAAAACTATGATTTTATCATTTAGTCACGATATATATTATTTGTAGCATTCCCGCCAATCCTAGACACAGAAAAAAACTATAGGGGGCGCTGTTGGTTGAATCTTCAAGACAGTGGTCGGCAACCTTTCTTGATCGCGGGTCAATTATATTTTTTGTTGTTGAAAAATTTAGCATTGTGTTGGGTCAGTGATAGTCATATAATTCTTAAGACCGGTACATGTATTTAAATGTGTAAATGTTTGTTTACATACAACAAACAAAACTGATTATTTTCAAAAAAACAAACAAGATGAGTCAGTCACCAAATACATTTAACAACAAAAAATAAAACAGTTTTTGATTGATTCTTCCGCGACTCTTTCCGTTTAATATCCGTGTTCTTCTCACATAGCCGAGAACTGATCAATGATTGTACCCTCACGGGTTGCAAACGGTGAAGCCAACTTTTGGCGGGTCAGCCAAATCATTGCCGCGTGTCATAGGTTGCCGACCACTGCTTTAAAATAGATCAGGTCTGGCTTTAAACTATAAGATACAGGAAGTACAATCAGCACTCAACTTTCCCGATCAAGTAGATCTAAGTTACATAAACGCCACGTTCGTATTTAGAAACTGTGTAGATTACATAAAGAGCAGTTGTTCTTAAACAGTCGATCTGATATTACCTTAAAGTTTACATTAATTACTCTTGTCCCAAGTAATGATAAATCGGAGATGTATCTACATCAGGGATTCCCAACCTTTTTGTTCCTCTGTACCCCTTGGCCTTGGGCATTCTGACAGGTTCCCATGTACCCCTTGGCTTTGGGCATTCTGACAGGTTCCCATGTACCCCTAAAAATTAAGAATAAAAAAATTGATAAAATTATATTGATTTTATATTATTTTATTATGAAATCTGTATGTGCGGACTGCATAAGGATTTTATAGTATTGATAACATCGATAAGTTGAACTCAGTGAATTTATAAGTTATCTTAGTATATTGTCAAAACAATATACTAAAAACTAATGAGATGGTTGAGCCTGTTTTTTTGGCAACAAGTTCATTAATACGAGGGGAACTTTAG